TAGAGCATTTTACTGCACAAATTACGCATATAAAATTCACCACCCCTCCTTTAGCACTAGCCCAAGGGGGTCAGGGCACATGTTAGCAAAGTATTATCCCATTTTGCACAGGGCTCTGCTCTGATGTCAGGGCGCTGCTGGGCTCGGCTCCTTCGCGGGCCATCAGCGCTCGCCGCGCCGCTCCTCCACGGGCGACGCATTCCAGGGCACAATCGGACCCATTGTGCAGCTATAAAACAGTTCTTGCTTTAATCTGCGCAAGGATTTTGCATCTAATCCAATAAATCAACACTGACATCTTGTGGAGATCATGAGACCAGAATGCCTGTAGCCACTTAGCGCAGCGGGATTTACACCCTCGCCAAGAGGGGCCGGTTTCTGTCGTGCCAACACGTTAGGGACCAAGCTCTCCTATCTCCCAGCCCCTGCTCTGGTGCTGGGATCGCCCACTTGGGTGCATGCTGGCATCACCCTGCAGTCCCAGCGAGGAGCCTCTCCGCGTCCCTTCGCCCACAAGCCATCATGCTGGGCAAGGTGGCAGCAGCAGGTGCCAGCAGCCCAACTTCCTAAAGAGCCTCATCCCACGCTACAGGCAATGGAAACGATGACTGGTGGACCACCATGCCCTTCAGTCTCAGAAAGCAGCACTCTGTGCCCACAAACATCGAGGAAGAGTCTTCCTAAACGACCTTTTTGATCCCAACTACAACAGGACTATTTACTTTTAAATCACTGCTGAAAGCAAAAGTATGCCCCCCCACACCCCTTCATAAATGTCAGGATACGTCAAGCTTCTTATCCAAACGGAGCCTCTGACGAGGAGCTATTTTCATGCTGGAATTTTATTAACTCTATAAGCAGCAGAAGAAAACGGACCCAAGTAGCACCGCAGGACTCCTGTAATGTTCCTGTTGATCTAAAAATACTTCGTTTAAGCAAAAAGAATTTGCAGTTTGAACATGCAGAACATGTTCAAGATCTTCCTCCCTATTGACCACATTCGTTTTAGCTGCTCTGATGGGTTAGAAAGGTTAAATTAAGTCACAGCCTTTTTTTCTTCCAGTGCTCATGGAACGGTTCATCTTTGTAGCCAAGGAGCACAAAATCCCCATTAAGCACATCTCACTCCAGCACCACTGCATAGTTAGTTGGTATGGGTTAACACCAACAGCCAGAACCCAAGCATAGGTAAGAGCTGCAACCACGCCATACAGTCATTCCTCCTGCTTCCTCCTAGGGAGCAAATATTTCAGGCTTACCTCATGGGGGAGGAGGGAGGAAGTGCTCAATCAAGTCTGATCTCTGGCAAACCATTCACATCAAATAGGTTTGAAAAGACACAAGGTGCCATCAGATGTCAAGAGATAAAATTTGGGTTAGCATACAACCAAAGTGGCTGGCATTTATACCCCACCACCATCCCCTTGACTTGACGCAGTAAAGCGCCAAGCCATTCACAGGGATTTCATTCTATTTGCTCCTATCCTTCCCTTTCAGCAAGGGATCATCACTGAGACACCTGTTTTTTTCCAGACCAATTTCTGACACGTCAGGTTATTACTTATCCCTTGCAATTTCTGACACGTCAGGTTAGGTAGGAGAGACCCAAAGCCCGATTCAAACATCATGTAAACAGTCAGGCGCCCTCACGAGTGTGAGCGACTTACAGACCCAGCAGCGCTCAGAGCAGGGAAGCGTCACGCAGGGAGCCCTGGAAGTTTGCACGATGAAGACAGTACAGTGTTGCTGCAACGCGGGCAGTCTGAGCCTAGAAACAAAGCAAGGCTTGTACGGAGAAGGAATGTCTGATATTCTTGGGAAAAAATTCAGAAGCAAACAAACCAAAAACCCCCAGAGAATGCATTTGGTACACAACCCCAAAACCAAAGCAGCAAACTTTTGCTAAATACAGTTTAAAAAGCAGCTAAATGTAAGTTGCGAACAAGTGCTTTGAATTTAACTTAATTATGGTAATCAGACAGTTTTCTTTGGGAAGGAAGAGATCAGCACTTGGAAAGCAGAGAGAAAGAAGTTACAGGGACAGAGACAGTTAGGTAATAAACTTTATGCCTTGAACTTCTCCATTAAACCTTGTGTGTGTTTGCTTTTTCTGGTATCCGCATTGAAATACAAAATGGAATAGTGCTATAATCACATAATGCATAATCATTTAGCACATAGTTTTCCAGCTAAAAGTGACTTTGCTGGACCCAGGGTGCTGCGTTGGTTTGGTAGAGGCCTGGGAACGCAAGAGGCAAGAGCAAACAAGATGTTTTACTTTCAGTGCACGCGATTTTGCCAATCCACCTTGCCAGTGGGCTCCCCTCACTCCTCCCTTGCTCCTTGGGTGCTGCCGCTATGGGATCTAAGAGATCAAGAGCTACCACTGTCACCAACAAGGATGGTAAGTTATTGCGTTACTCTTTTGTGTATAACTTAACAGTGGCTCAACCATCTCCACCCAATAATGTTTTCCTATTACTTATCCCTTGCAGCCACCCCATGGGAAAACCATCTCCAAAAAATCCCACGTGGACATAGTTGCCCACAGTTACCTGCTCCAGCCTGCTCTGTCTTCCCGTTTTTCTGAAGGCTGCAGCAACCCCCCGGAAAAACTAGACAACTTCCGGATGCCCATGCAGAAGTACCACGTGATGCCAGCACTGCAGGTGTCACAGAGGTACAGCATTGGCAATGCATTAACAGAACCTCAGCTTCAGGTAGAAAAAAGGAAATCTAAGACAACAGTACATAATTAATGCTATTTTACCTTGGACAGATCCTAACGTTGAATCCATTAAGTTACATATAACACCACCTAACCAGTTAAGGGGGGAGGAGGGAAAAAAGCAGCTATCATAAGAAATCCACAAACGACTGGTGAGGGAATCAACAGTTACAACACTGCCTCTATTCTGAGTACAACGGCAGGCCACTGTCAGCTCTTTACCCTTTTGGCTGCAAAAGAAAGGAGCAATTTTTATGTTTTTAAGTGACTAATCTGTAAGTATCAACGCTTTACATTCCTGCATGCCTACTCCTTCAGGAATATCAAGACACGTGCATCAAAAACAACAACAACAAAAAAAAAAATCCAAAAAATGCCATGCAACTTGGGCTCTGTTAATGTGCTTTGAACAGTCCCAATAGGCATATGCACGTATATGCAGCTAGGTCCGATTATTCAAATGCGGTTGCCTAGTATTAACTCTCAAATCTATATTTAAGCACTTAAGTAGGAATTACTGCAGCTTTTCAAAAATTCTAAGCACCAAGAGCTCTTGTTAAGAGCTTGCCAAAGTATTGACCTTCTAATGAATCAGTTCAAATGCTAATACTCACCTCACTCCCAGTAGCTGTTAAATTCAGTACTTTCATACACAGCTAAAGCATCTGAACCTCTCTGAATATGAACACAACTTGTCACAGCGTCCTGTCTTTCATATCAAAACACAGGCTAGATGCAAAGAAAGAAAATACAGAGGGGCTATTTCTAAAAGACCACAATGAACCCAAAGTCACTGTGCTTTGTTTTAGAAAAAGATTTGAAATACAGCAGCATGCTGCCGTTATGTGGGTCTCTGAGATGTTCCCAGCATCATCAGTTTGGTGGAAATTTGAGAAGAATGATAGTTATGAAGTAAAACATGTCTGGGCATTGAACTGAAAATTAAAACTCTCCTTGCACTAAATGGAGATGCTATGATGTAATTCTCGCTTTCTCCATTTCCGAAGGCAGAAAGCTTCTGAAAATTTCTGCAAAACTTGAACTTTGCTGTTCTTACCGCTAAAAGTTAAAAAGCTGACTTTCCCTTCCATATCCTGAGGCTTATCCTTTGCTAAACAGGCAAACTCCTGTCCTACAGACTAGCGCAACAATATTCTAACTCGGAGAAAAAGGCCAACTTTTTAACTTGCTTTGCTGTAATTATCATATGCAAATTAAATTTTAATCAGAAAGTCAATGTCTTACCTTCATTCCATGACTTCCTGCATCATTGCTTAAGAGGAAACGTGAAAAAAGGTCATATTTAGAGGGCTAATAGCTGCTGACATGGTTGGAGTAAATCAGAGAGAATAATCAAGAATATAGTATACGAGGTCAAGATAGCTCTGGGAAGTTAGGAAGCCAGATACAGTCCAGGATAATTCTGAAAGAAAGTTTAAGAAAATATAACTGAAGTAAAATATATTGTAGTTGCTCAATAGATATGGAGAGCCATATGCATTTTATCAAAAAAAAAAAAAGGATCATCTGAAATTACTTCAGCATCAGAGCACTAGATATAAAGCAGCAGCAACATAACGCACCAGCAATGAGTAGACTCTTTCCAGCAATATCTTACTTCTCTTTCTAGCCCTGCAGATGCAGGGGATAAGGCCTCAGGTCTAGACGCTGTAGAAATCATAAAACTGCTTTTTCTAACCAAACAGAACTAAGGGATCACTTGACACAATCAGGACCATTTTAAAATAAGAAACACTGGAAACTGATCAGAAGTTGTTCAAAAGCCTCAGAACGGATGCACGGACAGCCAGAGAGACCTCCGCTTTCCATGTTATGTTAAATAGCTCACCAGTACTATACTGCGCACACATCTGAGGAACACAATAGCTTTCTCTTCATTGCATAGATGAACTACACAGGCTCTCAGTTCAAATGACTTGGTCTTTACCAATGATTTTAAAATAAAACCAAGATGGTTACTGAAAGGAGAGAGTATTCCAAATTAATATATTTTAGTGTATTTAATGAATCAGCAAAATGAAAAACTATCTCAGCAAGAGTCTTTAAAAATTAGCTAAACTAGTGCTGTATCAGGGGTTTTTAAAAAGTGAAAGCACTACAGATCTTAAAGAAAGGGAAAGATGAACAAACCTGTCAAGAACTGTGTCAGTAAGTGTTAACCCCAGTGAAACAGTACGACAGACACCAAACACAAAAGAAACAGGAAGTGGAATCAAACTTAACAGGTATCTAGATGGTCAAAAGATTAGCGTCAAGTTTAAGCAACAATGATTTTAATACACAAACTAAGTTTTTACACGCACAACCTAGAAGATCTACAACTTTCAGTTGCTTCTTTTGGTGTTAGAAAGTATATACACAGACACATACATAAAAGAAAGCACAAATTTCAAACATTTTAATATTTTAAGAACAATTTTCAGGTCATATGCCTATTATGCACCCAAAGTATTCCTTTTATTAACTATTTTGCCTTAGTAGATTCTTCATTTCAAGGTTAAGCTTTCTCAAGTCTCAAATCTCGTGAAGAAGTTCCTCTTTTTCCTCAAAATACTTCCGAAACCACTCGATATGTTCGATCTTCTGTTTAACAGTTATGTATGGGTTTTTAGAAAGCCCACAGATCACTAGCTCCATGAAGTGGCGAACAGGTCCTTGCTTGGGGAAGTCCTCTAGGTGTTTCTCCAGAAAAATATGTTCATGAAATTCGGCGTCATCATCCATCCCTAAAAGGGCATAAAACAACAAAGTCATTATCACTACGTAACAGTGAATTTAACAAAACAAAAGTTATAGCTTGCAAATAAACCTGTAGTTAATAAAACAGTTCTGTGCCTTTTAATTCTTTTGCACAGTTAAGCAAACCACACAGGAGCAGAAGAAACTAGTGTAAGTTTCTTCTAAGAAGAAAGTTACTAGTGTAAGTAACTACTTTTAAGATTCATTAACATCTCCCTTCACACAGAAAATTTCTGTACATACCATACTCACATCTACCACGCTATTTCCATTTTGTGTTCTCTTTTGTAAGAGCATGCAATATTTACACCAACTTTGCCTGGAAACCCTCCTCAATGCTGATGCCAAAATCCATCTTCTTGTTCGTTCAACAGAGGAAAACTTTCACTCATCGTGAGTACCACATTTTAAATTGTCAATGCTTTCTTAATAGATTCTTCAAGAAAATACAGATTGCTTAATGCTGCAGAGGATTAAAGAACCCAAACTAATATAGAATGAACAAAGCTACCTCCTAAAACATCTAATATAGAACAGCTACTAAATGCTTGCATCTTCATTTGCAACTCCTAGTTTTAGCATCCTATGGCTATCAAATGGGATAAGAAATTGTTTTTCAAACAGATTTAAAAATGCTGTTTGTCACATCACGTAAAAATGCTGTTTGTCACATCAGCTGCTACTTGTAAGCAGAGACTAACATAAAAAGTACTGTATACAAAAGCATTCAGTTCCATAGGAACATGGGACAAGGGATTATTATAGATTTTTCATGAAACATAGCTTCAATCACATGGTAATTTTCTGTTTTCTACCCTGTGGATTTCATTTGCTGTTGTTCATATCACGATGCTAGTATTCAAAGGACAACTCAGAACACAAAATCTTACATATGCAAAAAAGAAGGGCTGTTTTAGAAGTTCGCAATTCTGAGGCTTTAAAAAACAAATTAAGACAAACCAGGATTTGCAACTGACAGAAAGGATTTTTTTTTTTTTTTGGTAAATTAGAGGTATTTCAAAATTCCTAGATGATCACAATCTGTTATAGATTTGTAGATGACATTTGCAACTTCAGATAAAAATAACTTAGAGGAAAAAAACATTGCATATAAACATTTTCAGATCATAAAAAGTGATAGATCTATGCTATAGATGTGAGCATATTTTTTTTAAATACTAACGAGGATATGATATGTTATTTGCCAACATTAAAACAGCATAGTAAACATGAGATAATGAAGCCATCTCAGTCCTAAGCTTCCTGCTATGTTAGAGCTTCTTCAAATTCAGATGCACATCACTGGGATGGGGAAGTCTCTCGCAGCTTGTACGTCCTGTTCACAAAGTTAGCGTTATTTCTTTCCTGTCTGAAGCTTTAAGCAGTGCAATGCCTGAAAGAGCTGGGAAATGCATCTATTTTTCTCCACAACTGCAGCATCTGAAACATGTGCAGTGTCTATCAATGCCAGCTATACATCACTTTTATCTCTCCTGCCCTAGAAAAAGGAAAGCAGATCTTTCCTTCTTCCAGAAGCTCTCCCTCTTTGTGTTTTTTTTTTCCTCCTGCTCACACCAGCTTCAAGAGGTTTATTGCTACTGTGCTTGGAAACCGATGTCCACTTAAAGAAGCACAGAAATCTTCTTTTTATCATGACACTGAAGTCCCACATTACCTTTCACTGACAAGGGCAGGCAGAACCTTATTGTAGTGGGACACTGGTGGCTGCTTTCACAAGTAACATTCTTTCCAAATTTCTAGAGGTCATGAAAATCCAAGAGAAAAACTGACCAACCCACTACTGAAAAAATCTGAATAATGCTGCCAATAAAAGTTGTCCTTTGGATTGTCGTCTTTTGGGGATAGAAGGGTACCAGGAGAGATGATGTCTAATTAGTAATTTCTCTAACTTCTCATCTGTAACCCAAAAGAAATTAAACAGGCTGTAGAAAAAGTACAAGACAACCAATTCGATGTTTATAGTCTCACAAAAAATTCAGGTCACAGGTAACTATTACACCATCTATTTTAATCTTTCATTTATCAAAGACATGATATATGGTATGAAGTGTTAAGTCCAAAGAGTTCAGTTAGACCACATTATTTCACTCTTCAAAAAGGTAAAGTGTGCATCACAAAAAGAGATCACAATTGCACAAAGCATCACAGGATGAGACCTCTGATGGGAACTGATGAGATGTTCACACGACTCCCCCACCTCCAGCAAGTGGTACCTCATGCTGCAGGGGAAGAGCAAGCCTGTCCCTCACCTTCTTGCACTGTCCTCAGAAATCTAATTTGAAAAAAAAAAAAACAAGGACAAAAAAAACGCACCACACACCATTTCCCACTATGAAACCTGACAACTGGTATGATCCTCAGCACACAAGCAACACATGCAAGACAGGCATCTAAAGCAGATTTTCTTTATCAGTCTCAAAGCACAAAGTCACCCTCTCTCAATATCCTGTTTGCAATACCCTACGTACTATAAAAAAGAAGTTTTGTTTCTCCAGGTATTAAACTAACCTTCAAGAGATGATCAAACTTGCCTCAAGGATGATGGAAGGGTGGGGTTCATCTCAAATGTGCACACCTGTACTTATAAGGAGTCTTGCTGACAAGCTCATAGTCAATAAAGAGAGCCAAGCATTTTTATAATGAGATAAACTGTGGGCTTACTGCAGGTGCCTAGAATAGATCCAAAATTAGTAAAATAACCCCCAGCTAAAAACAATCCCAGACTGTGTAACGTCTGCTGCCTCACTTGGTAAACTGATCCAACACTTCTCTGCTGGCAAACAGCATCTCGCTGTAATGGCCAGAACAGGACTTTGTGAACTTCTGCCTAGAGAAGCTACCAGAGGCAATTACAGACATTAAATTTCTGAGACTTCCATTAAACCTATTACATCTGCCATAACAACCTTTGACACACTGGAAGCATTTGCTCTTCAGAACGAGGTGCTAAAGCAGAAGAGCAGCAATAACGTGTAGTGTCCTTTCTAACCACCACGCTCCTCAGAATTTGAGTCATCATAGCGTAAATACAAAGAAACCATTTTAGAAAGAGACAAAAATCAGTTTTCCCCTCACCCTTTTGGCATAGCAAAGCTTGGCGTAGAGCTAGAGCTACTAGAAGTAAAGAGGGCAAGCAGAGAAAAGGACAAGGGAGGATGATGCTCTAAAAGCTACACTAACAGTTTGCTAATCCAGTAAAAAAAATTAATCAGTGGGCCTGGGAGATGCGGAGAGATGCCTAACAGTGTCCTCAGTTGCGTAAGAGGAGGGAAAGAACATGCAGGCAGGCACAAAGCCCAGGGCAGCAGAGAGGACTGCTACTGGCCATTGCAGCGAGCCAATACAGAAGTCTAGCCACATCTTCAGACCAGAAGTTTTTAAAAATCATGACCTTGCCTCAGTGTTTCAAAGCACAGCGCCTCAGTAAAGCACTCTAATGAGAACACTGGAGATGCTCTGAAGCCAAGAAAAGTAGTTATAAGCTTTCCCTCTCAGTCTTTTATGTTTCACTTAAAACTTTAAAGGCTGTCATAATGCTAAAAGTGGAATATATGTGCTTCCCAAGGAAAAAATTTAATTAATTATACATAAATTTTTATAACCACGTGTTTGTGGCATAACGGAACAATCACACATTTCTTGATGCAGAACAAGCTGGAGTAATGTCCTGCTATTGAGGGAGATGACAGTACAAAAATGCAAAATCAACAGGGGAAGGGGCATCTTTCTTTTGTAAAGCTACTGAAATTATGACATGTTGAATTCATTGTAGTGAGATTCTCAAGCTTTTAACTGTACTTTGACATACCCGATCTGACTAACAACCTGTAACAGAGCTGGCACTTTGATAGGATGGAATGCGCTGACTTGGTATTTTAACCTGAGAGGTGATAAATTTCGGAGCGCTCCACTGGAATATTCCACATGATCAGCCTTTGTGGACAAATCAATAAAGATTCCTGTTTAACTATATGTAAAGACTCTTTGCAACCATTTGCCATCCCACCCCAGACAGCAGGATTCCAGCCACATTGCTACAACAGAAAAAACACTGGCCACCAAAGACGCCTGGTCCACTTACTGCCCCAGACAGCAGGGTTCCAGCCACATTGCAACAACAGAAAAACCATTGGCCGCAGTGGTTTTAAGCTTGCAAAAACATGACTAGAATATACTTGGATTTCTGCATGATGGAACAGATCAATTCTGAACAGTGATTAAACTCTGTAAAGAAACCGCCAGAACGGGATGAGAATAAGCATTAAGAAACAATGAACCACATTATGCAATTTGCAACTCAATATACAACCGATTTTCAAAGACTCCTAGCTTCAGATACTAACCTGTTTTTGCTTTCAGTGACTGAATCATTCTAAAATAGTTTTGTTTGATGTCTTTAAACTCTTAGAAAGAAAAAAAAAGAAAAAAAAAGAACACACACAGCCAAACTCCCCCCGACGTTATAAAGTCCCCTTTCTAAAGTGTTCACTTCCTTTCTGTAGTTCTTCTTCCCATCCTTAACGTTCTCTCTCTCTGCTGACTTAACTTCCCACAGAACTTTCTCTTTTTAATGGAAAATGAAGCAAATACAGTGCACAAAGATGTCTAGTTAACATAGATGCCCAGAGTGAGCGAGTGTTGTGACTGTTTTTTCTTATGAAACAGACAGAACAAAGGAAGCAAACGACTATTTAACACTCAGCCAGTGCAGACGTGTAACTGGCAGATAGTTGATTAGGATCGCGCTAGCCACCCTGTCTCAGAATCACACCAAAGAACAGAATAAGCACTACAAAACATGGAGGGCAGTTTTAAGATTCTCCTTCCTCTGCTAGAAGCTTATTTTAAAGAAGTTTCATAGTAAGAGGAATTACGTAACAGACTTGAATGGTCTTTTGGGTGTTAAAATCATCAGGGCAAAGAGAGCAAGGAGGAGCGAAAAGAGAGCGAGCTCTCCCTTTTTGGCAGCAGCCAGCCCTCAGATCAGCCAAAACACCTGCAGGACTTCACCTTAAGTGTGCCAGAATGAGTTTATCTGAAGAACATCTGCTCTGGGACAGTCGGAGAGTTACATCTGTTTACTATCAGATGTATGATTTATAGCTGAAACACTATGTTAAAGTCGTCAAGGGTCATAACATGCTCTAATTCTCAAAAATGTAAATATAGACAGGTAACAAAAGTTAACAGTGCACGTACCGGCTTCATTGTCAATTGGGAACTCCCACAGTATTCCTTCTTTCGTCCACTGGATCATTTCCTCAAAACCATTTCGGGGCGGCTGCTCAGTTATTGCCGTAACCTCCTTCGCAAATTCCACATCCCAAATTTTTGGAGAAGATTCTAAATAAGGAATTTATTTTATTTTATTTATTTATTTTTTTATTTTTTTTTAAGATCTGACAACATGCCAAAGATTTCTCACTGGCTAAAACAACATATACACTTTAACATCAATCTTTACAAAGACTAGTACTTTCAATTGTGCAAGTTTTTCTATGTTAGATCGTCTTTCTCAATATGCTGTTGAAATGAAAGTCTTAAATTCTCAAGTGTCTGGTGAAAATTTATTCTGAACTGCTAGAGGACAGTTTATTTTTAAACCATTTTTTCCCCAAAGCAGGAATTTAATTATTCACAACTTTTTTTTCTTTTTGTCTTCCACAGATTGAACATATGACAAACTCTGAACTTGACTGCTGCACTCTCTGCTGTAAGAACCTTGCTTACCCCAGGAGTTTTCAGGTATATTCACAACTATCCACTTACGCAAGGAGACAACTCTTAATCTGCAAACGATGGCAACTCTTTCA